TATAGTTGCAAACCCACCTTCACCTATCTTTTCAATATTTGTTAAATCATTATAAGGAATCCATTGAAGATAATAATTATTATCATACCCAGTTGCTTTAAGTTGTGTACCTTTAATCAACTCATCTAATGTTTCATTGCCACTAGTCCATCCTTCAGTTAATAATTTTGGATCACATGATTGACACCATGAATATTCAGTATTATATCTAATGCAGGTTGGACATTTCCCATACGTTTCCTTTCTTTTATCAGAATATTCATCATTTATGTCAGTAGAAGCATTGTCATGATGTTTATTTTCATCCAAAGTGTTTTCCATCGCGGTTTTTAATTATATTATAATTTGTCAAAAAAAAAAGAACTATTTTTTCAGCCAAATATGTATCACACAAAATATATTAGATTTATCCCAAAAAAAAAATTAAATTTTCCTACAACAATTCAGTATTGACACACTAAAGTCATAAAACTGTAAATATTGCAAGCATGTGATCTGAGTTATTGGAGTCACCAAATCTCGTGAACTAAATTAAAATCACTACATACAACTATACAAGTTTCTATTCAAATAAGGTTATTCAAATTATTTGTTTTACTCACTATGGATTTAAGTATTCAATTGCATTGAAAGTTTATTTGAATCATATGAATAATAATAACGAATAATTCAATAGTTTAAATAAAATGAATAAACAAATAATAATAATAATAATAATAATTTGAATAGTTTAAATACTTGGATTTATTAGAAAATATATTGTTTATTTAATTAAATAGACATTTTATTTATTTTTTTAAATACAAATAAATTTGTAGTAATAACTAATTTTTTTCTTTGATTGTTGTGTGAAAATAACCTATTGTTTAACTATGAACATGAGCTGGTTCAAAATCTAATTTTTCCAAAGCCTTAATTTAAATTTTCTGAAAACAGGATCATACAAATCAATTAAGATGATGTTGTTCACATAATTTGGATGATAGTTGAAGACACAATCTCTATCATACTCATTCTTGAAAAATAATAATGGTGCAGGCATTTTAGAGAGTCTTCCTCTGCCAACTCCCGTGTGACTTCAGCCTTGCGTTTCTTGTCAGATTTTTTTTTTTTTTGGAAAGATCGAAAAATATTGTACCCAAATAAAATATGTAAATTGATATGTAATGATAAGAGAAATTAATTCGGGAACAAAATGGATCAATGAATGAATAAAAAAAATAATAACCATATTAGTAATAGTGAAATACGGAATTTTTAAATAATAATAATAAACAAGATCCACTTCCTCAAAATTTTCTGTTGGTATTTCTTCAGTCAAAGTATCCTCTTCATCTATGTCATTATTGTCATAGCATTCCTCCGTTTGGTCATTTCGATCATTATTGAGCACATTGTAATTATCTTCTTCAATCTCTTCTGTTAATTTACTCTGAATTAGTGGTTGATCTAGGTTTAAATTTTTAGATGCTCCGATATTGGATTCAACATGTGTAGTTGATGCTATAAAATGATCTTTAGCAGCATTTGCTGTTGCATGAATTGAAATACATTTGATAGCTTGCTAAATTAAAAAGAAAATATATGAACACTCAAATATAAGTTTCCAAAGAAAGAACTGCAAAACAGTCAATATATACCTCATCAACACAATTCAGTATAGCCAATTTTGCTAGATCTTCTGAATGTTTCCAAACTGTAGTAATTGAAATATCTTTTTTCTTGTATGATAAAAAAAGAAAAAAAATTAATATAGTAAACATATTTTAACATAGTTGAGAGTGACAGTTTGCCACAGTTTTAATAATGCCTAATCGCATATGATATGGCGAACAGCCATAACATACTCCCCACCGCAGAAATGCCCTGTACAACAAAGTTGCTCAACCGCAGTCGCAGGGTGTGGTTAGGATCTCTTAACATAATGACAAATGCACTGAGCATTGAACTCTTCTTCCTCATCCAAGTAAACCGCAGAAGAACTTGAACGCAATCGACCTCAGTCGCGGGGCATAGCATGTGTATTATGTTAGGAGATTTATTTTTTAAAAAAAAAACAGACCTTCAGTTGGTTATACATTTCCTTTGCTTTTTGATAAGATTTACTATTTGTTTGCTGATTTTCCATTAGTATATTTAGTTCACTTGAAAGTGCCGAATGTGCAAACTGTTGTATGCAGCCAGGTCTTTTATTAATAAAAAATATATCCCAAGTGATAACTTCCCACAAATCTATATCTCGATTTCAATAGTCTAATGAAATAAAGTTAGAATTTACATTGAAATTCGGAGCAATAAAATAATAATAGTAACTTGCCAGAGTAATGGAGAAGACTTAAAACTTCTTGCGGTAATTTATTTATATACGAATTCATGCTGTAAGCTTGTATTTGTCACGCATACGTCAATAGCAAATTCGTGTTACCCAGAATATTAAATTTTATAATAACAACAAGATTCATGTTTCTTTTAATAAATAGCAATCTTTCCAGTGAGCTTGAATTTAAACTGGACCTTAATATTAATTATTTGTTTTATCCGAATTAATTTTTTCGAATTATTTGCTTTATTCAAATTAATATTAATATTAATATTAATTTCCTTATTCGAATAATAATAAACTTTCAATGTAATTCGAATACTCAAATTCATAATAATAATAATAATAATAACGAATAAAGTGAATAATTCGAATAAACCTTATTCGAATAGAAACCCTAAATTTGTGTTTAAGGATCTTCCTGAAAACATACTTGTTATGGATATATGCATAAATTAAAATGATTATCGCAAGTTTTTTTTTTTGTGGAAAAAATAATTAACACAATGAATAATAAAAAGAAAATTGAACTTCAAGATCTACTTGGTGCGATCCAAGAAGAAACTGGTTTCAGTGGTTTAAAACAAAAATTAGCCTCACTTGAAAGTGGTGGTAATAAAGGAACGTACAAAGATCCTTTGCCACCACCTTTGCCCAAACGACTTAAAGATAGATTAAATCGACAAGCGGCTTATGAGGAAACAAAAAAAGAGATTTCAAAATGGGAACCGATTGTTAAACAAAATCGCATAGCAGATCACTTGGTTTTTCCAATAGATGCCATACCACAACATCGTCCAACTAATAGTCTATTGGCCGGTACATTCAAGGTATGCATCAATGTATTGATTGATGTTAAACAATTTAACGAAGAATTTTATATATTAATTGATTAATTAAATTTTTTAATTATAAAAAGCCTTCAACAAACTTAGAAAAAGAAGTAGAATCTATACTGGTGGAAAGTGGATTGAAACAGGGAAATGAAAAAGAACTTCAACAATATGAAAAACTCCAGTTAAACAAATTATCAATAGATGAAATAAAAACTCGAACAAAGGAACTTCGTAGAATGCGTGAATTAATGTTTCGAGAAGAAATTAAAGCAAAAAGGATTGCAAAAATCAAGAGTAAAACATATAGAAAAATTCGGAGAAAAGAAAAGATTAAATTAAATCTTGACCAATTATCACAACTAGATCCAGAGCTTGCAAGAGAAGAACGTATAAAACTTGATACAGCTAGAGCAAAAGAACGTATGACCCTAAAACACAAGAATACAACTAAATGGGCTAAACAATTATTAAAAAATGGACATCATGATCCTGAAAGTCAACAGGCAATAGTGGATCAATTGAAGAGACACGAAGAACTCAATCGCAAAATTCATGATCTTGGCTCTGATGAAGAATTGGATGATATAAGAAGTGAAAGTGATGATGCTTATGATGATAATGATAAACTGGAAAAAAATATTGAAGCAATTAAAGATGATGCTTTTGATGAACTATCCCAATTAGTAAATGATGAAGCTTTAAAAGATGAAACATCATTAGGTATAATGGGTATGAAATTTATGAAAAATGCTATTGAAAGAGAAAGCAAACAAACTGGTAAAATAATAGACGATTTTGTTGAGGATTTGGAAAATAATAATTTCAGTGAAGAAAAAAGTGATGGTGATGATGATGATGACGACGACGACGATGATGGTGACGATGATGATGGTGACAGAGAAGGAGGAGGTAGCAATAAAAAAAAGAAGGCCAAAAAAAATCATGATGAAAAAGAATCAATTACTTTTGTTGGTAATAATATGGGAAGAATGATAATTGGTGCTGGAACAAAGGTAGGGTTTTTTTATTTTTCAAATGAATTCTTAAAATTTAATAAAAAAAAAAGATTAACAAATTTTTAATTAATTATATATACAGAACCAATTACTAAAAAAGCAAGAAAATACTAAAGTTTTATTTGATCAAGGACCAACTATAAAAAAAGTATGCATTTAAACATTCTCAAAAACATTAAAATATGGATTATTAATTGTTTAAACAATTATTCAATAGTTGCCCAAATCTATATTTGATGGAGAAATTAATCCATGGTTACAGACAGACACTTCTCAAGTTATGGCTATTAGTAAAAAAAATAATAAAGTTACTAATAAAAAAAATGAAACAAAATCTGATAAATTAGTTAATAAATTAAAGAGACAAAAGCAATCAAGAAAAGAAGATGATGTTGAGATTGATTTAGACAATGTTTTAACATTCAACGAAAGTCTTCAGAAAATTGGTAAGTTACTGATGCATAAAATGTATAACACATAACATTATATCATAATATATATATATATATTTATATAGGTAAAGAAAAACAGACAAAAGTAGTAAAAATTACAGATAAAGAAATTGAGGAGGTAGATGTCGAGGAGGATGAGAAGATAACAAATGATTACATTCATAGTAAAGACACTTTGAAATTTACACAGAGAGAATTAGTTTCAAGAGCTTTTGCTAATGATAATGTAGTTCAGGTATGTTGTTATATTAAAAAACTTATTGGTTAACAAGGATATATATATATATATAGATGATCCAAACAATTTTTATTTTTTGAAAAGGAATTTGAAGTGGAAAAACAAGCTATAATTGATGAAGACGCACCCAAAGAAGAAGATATAACTTTACCTGGTTGGGTGAGAACTATATGCACACATATATATAATTTAACGATTACTATATTTATATATTAATGATATTTTACAAATTAAAAATATATAGGGTGCTTGGGGTGGTAAAGGTGTGCGAAAACGTAAACGAAGGAAATTGATTTCAACAATTCCTGGAATTGATTCATCTAAACGTAAAGATTCTAAATTAAAACACGTCGTTATTAATGAAAAAAGAGTTAAAAAGGTAACGATTTATAATTATTTATTACTTGACATTTCTTTTAATTATTATAATTAATGATATCTTTTTTTTAAAAAAATATCAAAATAAATGAATAGGCAAAAAAATATCTTTCAACAAATGTTCCATATCCATTTAAAAATACGAATCAATATGAACATAGTTTGCATACTCCACTGGGCAAGGAATGGAATACTGTCGAAGTTTATCAAAAATTAAATAAACCTAGAGTTATTACAAAATTAGGTTCAATTATCGATCCATTAAATGTACCTTTTAAAAATGACAATAAATTAAATATATAATTATAAATTGTTTATCATTAATAACACTCGCTCTTCTCGTTAAAAATTTTAATATACACATATGTATGTATATCTCATTGTTATTGATCTCTGGTTGTTTAATCAGAATTATCAAAAAAGTTTTGGGATCGAGATCATTTGGGCACATTATATAATTCATTAATGACATAATATTTTATGAACAAGAAAATTTGTTATTTGTCATTTTTTATTTCAATATTAAATTACATATTGGAATTCAAGTGAATTGACGATAATATCATCAATGAATGTTAATTATTATCATATACATTAGAGATATGATTTAATATCAGCCTCTAAACTAGCAGGCTAAAAATAAAAAATAAAATAAATATTTTCCTTTAATTTTATTTTAAACTTCAATTTATTATTATTAAAATTTTTTTTTACCTTATCACCAGAAACATAACGTTTGACAACATTTCCTTGACGATCGATTAAAAATTTTTCAAAATTCCACTTGATGTCTCCTGGTAATTTTGATTTCAGAAATTCATAAACTGGACTTGTAGACTCACCATTTACATCGATCTTTGCAAATAACGGAAAGGTTACATGATATTTATCATTTCTACAAAATGTTTCAATTTCTTTCCCCCAAAAAATAAATAAATAAATAAATAAATTCCTTTTTTTTTATTTATTTAAAAAAAAAAATAATAAAGATTTATTTATTTTTTTACCTCCTTCGGCGCCAGGTTCTTGAGCTCCGAATTGATTACAGGGAAATCCAAGAACTTCAAATTTTGAACTTTTGAGTTTTTGATAAAGTTCTTCTAATCCATTATATTGTGGAGTATATCCACATTTTGAAGCAACATTTACCACCAATAAAACTTTTCCTTGATATTCAGAAAATTTCAATGGGTTTTTTTTAATGTCCAAAGCTTCTAATTCATAAAAATTTGTTGCCATTTTTGTAGTCAATGTTCTACAGTTGAAAAGATTAGAGGGATAAAAGGATAAATAATTTTCAGGAAATTTTTGTACACTCCTTATATATGAAAATCCGAACACTGATTTCCTAATTATTGAATAAGTAAGTGAACAATTATTCAAAATCTTTGGATTCATTATTTTTACACAAAGTTATCATATATATATAAATTAATAAATGTATTTAGTGTTAGTATTATTATATATATTTAGTGATCGGCAATGGCAAATTTTGAAAACGTGGATGGGTTTTTGGATGGATAGTTAATGTATAATACTTTTTCCCCATTGATGTAAAATCGACAAAAGTTTAAAATTTAACGTAATCTGTTGTTTCATGATAGTTGGTCATTGGTGAAACATTTTAAATATTTAGTATTATCGATGGCAATGGACCAGATCAAAACTTGTTGGTGAACATTATAAAGAAATTACAGAAATCAATATTATTTAAAATCACATCGTATGTACTACCACTAATCTAAAAGTGGTGGGTGGCTCTAGCCAAAATAACATAATTGTGTTTCTTCGGCTTAGACTAGGTTATATATGATGTCTTATATATTGTTTTTTGTCGTCGTGATACATTTTCGTCGTCACGACACTGAGTATGTGGCACATTTCTGTCGCCACCACGTGCAGAGGGATGCGTAGCATCCTGACATTCCAAGTTTACATACAACATTGAGGTTGCTAGCTTGCGTAAGATTACCAAACTTTTTCTCGCTCGAGGTGAGGCACGTTGTGCTAATATCAGAACTAGGATGCGAGTCATCCTATCATCCTATTGTGCAATAATGTAATTTTTAATAAAATAAACTATTTCATGGCCAAATGGAGCATTTATCAGTTTAATAGATTGCTTTAAATAGACCCGCTATCCCTCACTTGTGGGTCAAGGATACACATCTCCATACTAATACTACATTTCCTATCTTATCATGTGATATATTTTTTACAGAGCAATATAAATACGAGTTGGATCCATTTTTGTCGTCTTTTACTTCATCGCTATTGTTACTAGGATTAGGATTTAATGCTACTTTGTTGGTCGAAATACCCTAATTTCAAATCAAATCTTTTATTCCTATTTTTACTTTATTTTTACTTTATTTTTATATCTATATTTATTTATTCTTTATATTTCTTATTTTATTTTTATTATTTTTATTCGTATAACGTCGAAACTAGCTACGTCGCAATTAAAGTACGATATCGCGGTTAGAGTGCAAGATTGCAATGAAGTTGCTACTAATTAATTTAATTCTATATAAGAAGCTCAAATTTGATATAATTGTAAAAATAACTTTGTCTTAGTTTTAATAGCTTTGTAATAAAGTTTTAATAACTTGTAAATTAACTTGGAAATAAGTTAATAAATTAGTTTCGACTAAATAAAACGTTTTCTTGAATCGCTAAACCAAAATTATTCGCTAATAAAACTAATTCGTTAATAATAGCCAATTCATTCTGATCCACATAATCATAAATTTATATTGTTATCATCAATTAACACGCTCTCCCAAATAATAATTGGTGTACATTATATAACATTTTTAAAAAAAAAAAAGAAACTATTAAAACAAAGTTTAAAACAAGCTATTAAAGTATAATCAAAAATATACAAATATTATGCTTAACAATACATATATTCTGGTTTTCAATCTAAGACATGATGTTCTGGAATAATAACAGAGAATTGACCACTTCTCTTTTTGAATGAAATGACATACTCATATATTTTAATTCGCGTATAGATATCTCAAATTAATGTTTGGATCTTTTTCATTTTTTATCTTCTTTGGAATGATGCTCTTCACTAACAAGATTGACAGGAATATTAATAACCATAAGAATTTACAAACATGCCAATATAAATGTATCTACATTGACATTGAACAATTCTGTAGATGGAAAACTCACTGGAATTGAAAATCTAGAAAATCAAAATATAGGGGATGGTTTCAGCAACTCGTTTTCTCAAGCGCAAGACCTCTTTTCCTTAGATGAGTGGACAATGTCAGTATAATATTTACAAACTATTAGTCTCTAGCCGTTTATCTATCGGATCGGTCAGATCTGATGAATTCAAAATGTATCTACATTGACATTGAACAATTCTGTAGATGGAAAACTCACTGGAATTGAAAATCTAGAAAATCAAAATATAGGGGATGGTTTCAGCAACTCGTTTTCTCAAGCGCAAGACCTCTTTTCCTTAGATGAGTGGACAATGTCAGTATAATATTTACAAACTATTAGTCTCTAGCCGTTTATCTATCGGATCGGTCAGATCTGATGAATTCATGAGTCTGTTTTCCAATCAATGAAGAAATAAACTGGGATATCGGGTATATAAAATTTGTAATTCCACCACAATCCTCAACAACGTACGATAAATGCGATTAATGTGTAAGTGGAGAATGAAAATTTAAAAAATAATAACTTAGCGCCTTTTTCTACTTCTTTTTCATTGATCGTTGAGCTCAAAGAATGGGATGGACATTTAATGGTCTTGGATCCCATGCATTTGTTTTCTTTGATCCATGGAAGCTCAGTGCTTTTTAATAATGTATTATTATTGTGAGGATCGATCATATTTTTATAAACAATAACAAAGTTAAATTTTGATTTCTTGTCCAACTATCAATATTCATGTCAGTAGAAGGATCCTTCCTGATAATCTCTCACCGTCCATACCACTATACAGTGAATCTTGGTTTAGTGAACCTCGATTTAGTGATACTAATTAAAAATCTCGGTTTAATGGATGAAGTCCTCCATAATAAACCCTTTTCGATATAATGGATTTCTTCCCTAATATTAATTATAATTGTCCAAACTATACGTTAAACCAAGATCCACCGTGTATCTTCTTTTCAATAGCAAACTTTTCAATTAATAAATTAATTTCCATAGGTTAAAATTTCTGAAAGTTTAACCTTACACTTTTAAATCAATTCTCATTTAATTCTCTGCTTTTCTTTTGACTATCTTTTAGAAATAGTTCTTTTACTATTCATATTATCATTATTATTCTTAATTGCTTTGTGATTTTGCACTTATAATTCATATTAAAAATATATACACTATTTTCCAGATAGTAATTCGCATTCTTCATTAATTCTATGATTACAGAGACCCTCAGTTGAGTTACGAAAACTTCATTTGCCCACAAATTATGGGAGCGGAATGATACAGGCAATTACTATCTTGTTGCCTGTCCACATATTAAAATTTCAAAATCTTCTGGCAACAAAAAGCAAGAACCTTGGTCAATAGATATGTTGGAGAAATGTGTATGTGAATGTTTCTTTGATTAGGAAGAATATTGCTGTTTTCTAAATTTGACGATATGGGATTGTTATTATCAATATCTACTAATGCAGCATGAGCTTTCTGTTGATTCATTCTTTGTTATTTTTAAAAATGAAATTATATTTATAAACATAATTGATTGGAAGATGTAGGATTTTTTCATTCTTTATTTTTTTGTTGTTAAAGAAAAATAAATTCTTTGATTGATCTAATACAAATAAAAGGCGGGCTAATTGTTTTCAACGTTTTAAAAGAATCTTTATCCCTCTCTACGAACCAATAAAAGAGCATTTTTGATTGTTAAAGAAATCGATTTTTATTTCTATAAACCAATAATTCTAAATTCTTTGTTAAAGAGATCAATTTAAAGACTCTCTTGGCTTCGTTAATTAAACTAGCTTTTATCTCTACGAATTAATAAGAATTATTTTAAAATTGTTTGGCTTCACTAATACTGATTAAAAAATAGACTCGAATAATAAAAAAAAAAGGACCATTAAAAAATGGAACGTTTATTTTATCATCCACAAATTTAATTATATAAAAAAACAAATTAAAATTATTTTATTGGAGAATCAGTATTATATTTTAATGAATTGCAAGTATTTAGCGTCAATGTTGTCGTAATTGATGTTTTCAATAATCCAAGTCTCTAAGAACAAAAAATTTTTTTTGCAGATATAAATATTGTTTTTAATGGAATAATACAAGCAAAATTGAGATAAATTATATCAACTATTGGATTTTAAAGATGACTAAAGATATATATACAAGAAACCTTCTTATAATGATGTTAAATGATAAAGTATTACAGTAGAAATTACAAATAATAGTTTTTGTTTTAAAGACTTACAATAGCTCTGCTTCTTTTATTTTTTTAATAATGATGTGCCAGTCATTTCTTTTGGTATTTCTAATCCCATGACATCTAAAATTGTAGGAGCCACATCACACAGTGCACCTTTTGCAGATTCAGAAAACGAATAATTCTTTGATGTCATAACAAAGGGAACTTTTAAATATAAATATAATTAATAAAAAATATATATTTATATTTAAAAATTATTATTTGTTGTTATTACTATTATTACCTGGATTACAAGTATGAGCAGTATGAGGATTACCATCTTCACCTTTCATTTGCTCAGCGTTACCATGATCAGATGTAACGAAAAGTATATAGTTATTTTTTTTGCAAGCTTCGTATATCAAACCAATAACTTTATCGGTTGTTTCAACAGCTTTCACTGCTGCTTCATAAATTCCTGTATGACCTACCATATCAGGATTTGCAAGATTACACATGATGAAAGGAAACTTTCCACAAGTTATTTCTTCTACAACCTTTTCTGCAATTTCTAATGCTGACATTTCTGGTTTGAGATCATAAGTTGCTACTTTTGGTGATTGAATTAGATGGCGACATTCAAGTTCAAATTGTTTCTCCACTCCTCCATTAAAAAAAAATGTTACATGTGCATATTTTTCGGTTTCTAAAAAAATAAACGTTTGATTATTGATTCTTGATATCAAAAAAAAAGACATTATAAATATTGAAAATTATAGATATTATTATTTACCTGCAACATGACATTGAGGAATCTTATTCTTTGAAAGCCATTCAGCTAAAATATTATCCATAATTTGTGAAGAAAATGCCACTGGAAATGAAAATTCCGTTTTATATCTTGTCATAGTTGTGATATGCTAAATAAAGTAAAATTTTGTTCATTTTTAATTAATAAAAATATGTTAATGTTTTAATTCTTTATTTTTTTTATAATAACATACAAGATTTTTTGGAATCTCAATCTCAAATGGTGGTGGTGAAATACCAAGAGTCTGGACAATTTGACGCATTCGATCAGATCGAAAATTAAAAAAAAACAATGTATCATTATCTAAACAATAATAATATTTAATTAAAAACAATTTTTTTTTTTTGATATAAAAAAATTTTTGTTTATTAATTTGTAATAAAAAGATACCTTTGATAAGTCCTTCTTCATTAACAATTATTGGTTTTAAAAACTCATCAGTTTCATCTTTGTTATATCGTTCATGAATAGTCTAATTTATAAATATCAATATATATAAATATCTCATCAACTAATTAATAATAATTATAATATATATATGTATAATTATCTAACTTGTAAAGGATTGTCAGTTTTTTCTCCAATTCCTCGAGTCAAACCATCAACTGCAATCTTAATTCTTTCCCATCTTTTATCTCTATCCATAGCATAATATCTTCCAGTCATGGTAGCAATTTTACCATAATTAATTTCACCTGAAACTTTTTGGAGCTGTTCAAGATATTTATCAGATGAACGAGGATCGGTATCACGCCCATCACCAAAAAAATGCACATAAGCATCACAAATACCAAAGCCTTTTGCAGATTCCAAAAGGTGAATTAAATGATTGATATGACTGTGGACACCTCCATCAGATACCTTAAATAGTAATGATGAAGGTAAGAATTATTAATTTGTTTATTTATTAATATTTATAAAATATATACTTACTAAACCAAGAAAATGAATTCTGTTTGACGTTTCCTTGGCATGTTCAAAAGATTTTCTAATATTTTCAATTTTAAGAAATTCTTTTTTTTTAGCAACCAAATCAATTCTTAATGCATCCTAATTTTTATTGTGGAAGCAACAATACCTTTTACTTCTGCTAGTAATTCACGAATTTCAATAACCATTTCATCGAACTCAACCCAGTCTTTTTGTCAAACAATTGTTTGGAGCCCTTCCATAGATTTTCGATTTCTTGCAAATATGTGAGCCGGCTAAAAAGAAATTTCTCTTAACACCCATTTTTTACATCTGGAATTTTAGTGCAGAATTTAGTGGCATAAACACTTAGCTGATATGGGTCCCTTAGAATAACAAAAATCATACATTTGCTCAAAATAAAATAAAAATACAATACTCGTAGCAAGAGTTAGAATTTCTATTCGTAATACAAATTCTTATTTAAATTATTCTAATTATTCATAATACAACTCCATCTTGTTTTGTTCGTAATAATAATATAACTCGGTCTTAATTCGTTTTATTTGGGATATTTATTATAATAACAACAGTAATAATAGTTGTAATGATAATCTGAAAAGTTTTCATTATTGCTCATTTACATACATTATTGACATTAATTATATCGAATACCCAATACATCATCCTACATCTAAGGATTTCCAAAAAAACCAACAATTTTCCACATCCTGCTTGATCTTGCAGCAAAATATGAAGAGGTGGTTATGATATTTATGGGAACCACAGTAATAAAT